GGAGAAGCGTGACCAGTGGAGATAGCACGATACCTGGCCGGCTTGGATTCGCTGCCATGGCAGAGTCAGCCTTCCTATGTCTGGGTCATATGACGGATATGATACTGGCGCGGGAGAACGATTCAGATGCGCCATGGATCTGCTGATCAGGCTGTTCCCAATCTCTCAATTCTCGACTTGTTGCTTCTTCGATTTATCCATTACCCCCTATGCCCGTACTTTGTCAATATGACTAAGTATGCATGTCACATAAATTCTCAAGAGTCTCGTACGGTGGATGTCGTGAGACGGTCCATCGAGAAAGCAATGGCTACCTGCCTAACGTGGTCACCGCCAAGACAGACAATACATCCTCATAGGTAGTCTAGAAGAACACCAGACGGCGGGCTCTTCAGTCCCCTTAAGACGTAATATTGGTAGTCTGGTCCCATCGAGTTAAGTGCCTCTATATTCTTATCTTCAAAATAAAACATCTTTGGTATGGCGGGCTGGCACTGAGGTCTATGTGGGAATAAATGCAGCTTCTTATTGTGATCTGTTAGGAAGGACAGCGGCACGCCTTTCGTCTGGGTAATGTAATGAACCCACACGATGGCGAACATTGGAAGAATAACAAATCAGGGGCAATTCGCCATCTGGAAAACATTTACCCATTTAATTTTGGCTGCACTACATATCCTGCTTCTACTACCGATCCACTTCTGCAGAAGCCAACACATTGTCGATCAATCCTCGTCCGACAGGCATTTCGGGTTGCGATGCCTGTATATCCAGGAGAGAGTTGCAATAGTAGGACTTAAATCCTAGCATTAATTCCCTTGGCGCCATGGATGTGGCAAGGTTTGCTTTAGACGAGGATTTTCTCGATAATTAAAAGCTCTGTTGGGAAAGTATAGCCCGAGGATGACTTAAGTTAACCGTGCTCACGATTTGTTATTACCGAGCCACGACTCGTTAGGTTGTCCGCACTGGCCAGTTCCTTTTGTTCTACAGTTCTACAGTGCTTCTCCTTAGACTTGGAAAGTTGCGCCTCTGTCTCGATCAACTTCGTTGGCCGTGTACTCCGTATCATTCCGCTGTTGTACCTCCCTTATACTGCGCTTAGCTTTGACCGTTCTCTCTCAAACTCCTAACACTCGCTGTTCTATGATGGGTGGGCATGTAGGAAGACAGACATAAGCAAGATTCCTCCGAGGATTCTACAAGGTAATCTTGAGTATCATTTCTTCCCTCACAAATACTCGCTCTGATTACTTCCAACCCAATGCTGCACAACATATAATGAGACCAGGTTTCGGCTTCGAAGCGGCCAGTGGCTGAGCGGGTGTCCCTTTGGCGCGATGGCCCCGTGGGTAGGTTGACTTATTACTAAATCGGCAAGGCTTCTGCCCTGTCTCATCAAATGCTCGTCGCGTCAGAAGATAGTACGAAAGTACACATGATCCATCCGATACAGAATATTGAGCGTTAGTGCTTATTGATTTTTGTGCCAGCATATTGTAGTATCGAGGTGGCATCAACTTAAGTAGACGCCAGCGGTCAAGGACCATACTGTACTCCTTCGAAGACCATAAAGCAAGTGTGTAGAGGCCTATACTTGGTTTATCTTTTGACCTTTCCAACGCTAGCACCAGATTAGTATCATCACAAAGCGAGTATTTAAGCAGAAGACATATGTAGGGAAAAGTGGCTTGACTTATTTTAGTGGGAGACCTATACGGGGTCGTATCCAAGTGCCTTACAAGACTAGCAGCCGTCTCGAGGATAGCGGTATTATAATGGGCAGCGCCACACGTGGCAGTGCGACAGGTTTCGACTACCTATAATAAAGGACCAGCGATCGTAAATCGGGTGTTGACTGGAAAGAAAACTAGTGACTCGCAAGACAAGCCTAGAGTGCAAAAACAGGCACAATCCATCAATAGAGGCTGGTCGACAGTCTGAGCCACGGCAATGTCAAGTACTCAACCTCGTCATGTATGCTTTCGCCATTCGTCTGGCTCATTACTTGAGTACTTGTTGTCTCGAGATTTGAACAGAGTTTCACGACCGTGCTTCTTGGCCGGTGGGATAGGTTTTACGGAGACGGAATACTTTCTCAAACTTGGTGAGAGCGGTCGATCATCTCTTATGAGTGAGTTTTGCGCTACACTAGCAAACGAGCAAATGAGCAAACGGAGGGGCAACTTCAGAGTACGGGTAATATGTGTATGGCCGGCTTCTAATATATAAGCTCTAGAATACGGAGTAGAATTTGGCGATATGTAACGATGAAATTGCTTACAGTCACAACTTTCATGACTTCGAATATGAGTCCCTGGTAGGGGCCTCGGCTCGGCTCAAGCAGTTGGGGCCAAGCGGTTCGGTTCGGGTCATACGGATCACTATCGATGAAGCCAAGCGTACGAGCAAAGAACCCACCATACGAAAATTGAGAATATGTACGGAGTACTACTTGATCAATTTACTAGCGGGTAGCTCCAAAAATCTTTCCTCTCAGACTAGAGGGTATCTTGTGGAGTTCTGCCCCCTAACGTATGATCTTGGAATTTGGTTGAAATTGGAGAAGCCGATCGCAGGGTGGATGTCGCGACGATAATCGTCAATACCGAGAGACCTACCGAGCCGGCTTTTCTCAAGGTAACATTCAATTCCTCCGCCAACTAGCTAACAACTCTCAACTCCACATTCGGCATTTGGTGGGCTTCCCCGCATCTGTAGAATACGCGCAGAAGTGAGTGAAGCCTCGCATACATGTTCGCAGTAGCTTCGGACTTACGAGTTGGTACCTACATAAAAATATGACGTCCAGATCCTATAGATCAAAGTGGATGGTGGTGCATTCTCCCATCCTCCACACGATCTGAATGTCCACGCTCCTTTTAAATTTCAAGATGCACATGTGGACGCCATTCACTCTGGTCGCTTCTTTGGCGCTGGGCAACCTCTTCATGCCCAGCATCCACGCTTTACCCAGTCCGCGCGTGGAAACGAAACATGGCATTGTCACCGGCTTTCAAGATGCAGCCGCACCAGGAGTCTCGCAGTTCTACGGTATTCCCTACGCTGAAGCGCCCATCGGAGAGCGAAGATGGCTTCCTGCCTCGCCCAAAGAGTCTTTCGGAACTTTGGACGCGTCGGTGAGACGTCCGTCTTGTCCACAGACGGATCCGCCGGGAACCGGAGGCGCGTGGGCTGCTGAGTTCCTGATTCGGCCCAACAGCACCAGCGAGGATTGTTTGACACTGAATATCTGGACCCCGGCCAACTCGTCCCAAGCTCTCCCGGTTGTTGTCTGGATTCATGGCGGTGGATTCGGTGCGGTATCGTACATTCCTTTCATATTCCCCTCATTCTCTCTTTATGAGTGCGTACTCAGATTCTAATAAAGGCGTAACAGGGAAGCAATGATATTGCCTATCAAACTCCCACCCGATGGGTCCAGAGGAGCCAGAAGCATATTGTCGTTGCCATAAAGTAAGAAATATGGCCGCTGCCGTTGGAACGTCTTACTAACATGATGATAAAGCTATCGCGTCGGACTCTGGGGATTTCCAAACGCCGCAGGCCTTGAACAAACGCAACAGAATCTAGGGCTTCTGGATCAGCGGTTGGCCACGGAATGGGTGCGAGACAACATCGCACAGTTTGGAGGTGACCCTGAGCACATTATTCTCTGGGGCCAGAGTGCTGGAGCCGGATCAGTCTCGTACTATCAGTACGCCTACCCCGACGATCCCATTGCCATTGGCTTCATCAAAAACTCGGGATCACCCTTCATCCCAATCGGAAGTGACGATGCTGTACATGGCAACTTCTCTTCCCTTGCGACCGCATTCGGATGTCAAGAAGACGAGCTTGGCTGCTTGAGGGACATTCCCTTCCGGAAGATACAAGAGTACCTCGATCAAGCTGGCAATTTGACATTCAACGTTATTGTAGACGAGAAGACTAAGTTCTCTGACTACGAGAACCGAACTTTGGACGGGAGAGTTGCCAAAGGCGTAAGTGTCAACCCCATCTAGGCACATAGTAGCCATGCTGACTTTGTCATCGGGAAGCCCTCAATCGTTGGTTCGACTAGGGATGAATGGAACTTCGCCGGCAGCACTACTATCCCTCCAACCAATGGATCCGACGTAGTTCCTGACAATCTGTTCGGCTGTCCGGCGCAATACGAGACCAGTCTGCGAAATGTGGCTGGCCTCAAGACCTACCGCTACATGTATTCCTCCAACTTCACCAACATCATGCCCGGAGGCCAGGGCGCCTTTCATTCCGCAGAACTTCCGCTCATCTTTGGAACACATGATATTGCTCGTCAGAACTCCACAGCGTTCGAGTATGAAGTCAGTGAGGAGATGCAGGACTTGTGGTTGTCTTTCATACTCGATCCTGAAGATGGACCGGGTACTGAAGGTTGGGAAGCGACGCCGCTCGGAGGCCTTGAGACACTGCAAACAGGTATTGACATTGGGTACAATGGCTCTGTCGTGCAGCCATTCTCCTGGACTTCCTGGCAGACCGCGTGCGTCCGCGGTGTTGTTGCCTCAGATAATTAGGTGAAGGCTGGATCGACTGAGATTGCTGTGAGATGACCATCTCAATAGTAATTAGCGAACACAGACCTTTCATCCCGCCCTCTATCCTTCTGACATAGTAGGAAATGTCGAGTGGTCATCGTTCCGATGTGACGACACTGACTATGACCGAACTCAACAAAAAACTCCCTCGCGGACTATAGAAGCACGATGAGGTATTGCCTTTATTTATCAACTAGAAGGATATGTAAGTCGTTCGGACTTCCGTTCGATTGATGGCTCGCATGAACCTGACAGGTGTCACGTCTGTGACCGTGCGCCTCCAACGGCTATTGATAGGCAGGAAATATGAGACATGTCAGCAAGGAGCAGACAGAGCTTAGTCTTCGCTCGCCATTCAAGCAAGCCAAGGGCGTCTTCCTCAAAACCCAAAGGAGTGGTTACACCGAAAGCTACATATCACTTCAAGGCCAATAGGGCCGCTGGGCCCGGAGTGTGACTACATCCAGACTTCCCCGAGCGAGCTTGCAGACGGGGACAAATCCCGATTGAATGCAGGTGGGGAGAATGTCCGATCCAGTCGGTCAACTCAAAACATGAGGTGCTGACATACCATCGGCTTTCCGCCCCGAAAAAGCTGTCCCAACGTTAAGCAAACCTTGCCGCGACATAACACAAGCCTGACATCTCTCGGTATCGGGTGCCGCGTCAAGCGTGCATTCCCGGAACACTAGGATAGACTCAGCCTAACGCACACTCGCCCTTTCGCTCCTACTGTCAAGGTTTGACTAAAACACAGTTAACGGTGTCTGATGTTCGGATTGCTGCGAAGCGCCCAATGAAATCGCCTACGCGCCGAGCGCCACCCGAGTCTCGCGCACCGCTCGGCTAATTGAACGCCAAGTGAAGAGCTTAACCTCTTTCCCCGATTGAAATCATAACATAATTGACTTTTACATACAGAAGAAGTACATTATCGTACAAACGTTCGGGGAAAGGCCTTAGTTGTTCCCCTAGCGGCTACTTTGACAAGATGCCACCGTTGAAGGCCCGAGTACGTTGCCACCCCGCTTAAGCGCCCTAGAAACGCGTGACATGAATGTGTCCATCTCAGTCTGATCACATCTTATGCCTTTTCCCTTCATAATGTGACTATGTACTTCGAGGATAAGCATGGGATCAGACCGTGAACTTTGCAAGCGCCCAGTCTAACACCCTAGCGCAATCGCTTATGCCTCCTTCCTCGAACTCCCAACAATTAGATAGAATTTCCTTTTGAGCAAAGATCGTCCGCTTCCAATTTTGAGGGTACGTGACCTTTGTCGGCATGTTCAACGATGGGATACTTTGTGCCCGCTCTGCGGCCGTCAGAATTAGAGAACAGGTCACGAACCCCCTCAGTTGCAACCAGAGGCCGTGATGAGGTGTAGATGAAGTAGCCTGAATCCTGAACAAACAGTACTGTAGACCTCGCGAAGCAAGCTCTGCTACCCTTGCGACCATGTGTTCTGATACCGTTAAAGCGATGGAGATAGTTGAGGCCAACCGGACGAAAGGTCTGCACAGGAGCTCCTTCATCGCTAGGTACCTTCCACGAAGCATTTGGCACAGGTCATCACCCAGAGGAGCGATGTCTCCAGTGGGTATTTGGAATGATATTGGCGGTGGTAGGGATTCGTACCAATCTGATAGTTGGGCATCAAAGACCTCAAATACTTCAAGCATGCGGTCAATGCCGTGCTCAGTCGGGTGAGGAGGGCATCTCTTTTGGGCCTGAGTGAAACGATCAATCAGGTGTCGTGCAGAGATCTCTGCTAAGTAGTAGTACCAGGATCTTTGCTCCATCATGAGGGCCTTGTTGTCTAGGTTCATGACCCCCAGTGTTGGTGGAGTGGGCAGACTATATGGGTAGTCTACGCCGGCGAGGATGGAACCGGGGAGAGACAGCTCAAACGCCAGCTCACTGCAACCGAGTCTTAGCCAATGATCAAGTACACTGCGGGAATGTATTTCGGATAGGACATACCATTCAGATTTGAAGCAAGTGAAGTACAATATCTGCTCCATTGAGAGTGACTGGGGGAATTCAGGCGTCTCGGCTTTAGCCGGCATGGTGAGTCTGAGACGAATGTCAGCCAAGGGAATTCCAAGCAATGCCAAGGAGAGACAAACTTGTTTGTGAGCGAAGTAGTATACCAGGTATTACTCGCCATACTGAAACATTTCCATGCTTGTAAGGGATCCATGTTGTACATGTGCCAGATTCTGCCATACTAGTCAGCCTTACATGTACGACTGACCGAGAGCCATGACAAGTCAAGTACGCGGGAGTAGCCGTCTTACCCTGCAAGGCACAAGCATTGTACAGACTCCCATCCAGGTGAACCCATGGAGAAGCCCAGTCGTTTCTCGGCGACTGACCAATACCTTGACGCCAGATGACGGTTGGGCTCCACGGAGTATCCACGAGGGGTCCCGCTTGGCGTCCTCTGCCCAGGTCTCTGGGATATGGCGCCGAGGGCACAAGACAATGCAACGATACAGGTAGACGCTGACCAGTCAGGGCCGTTTTCCGCGACCTGCTTTAACATCTGTCGCAGCATTTGAGCATCGACGACGGGATTCATGGGATGAACATTGGTCAAGTACAAGTCTACCAGCCGGGATAGCTCGTAGAACTCCATGGCGGGGGGTGATCTGGGGGAAAAGGCATCCCCACGTGGGGAAGCATGGCTGAAGGGGTCTATCGCGAAGGGCACCGGTTTAGGAAAGATTGGCCACTCCAGCACGGAGTCCAGTCCGGCGGTATCCGATAACGAGGGATGAATGGATTTCTTAGCCTCATCCGCGGCACCTCCATCTTGCCCAGACAGGAGACCATCTTGACGTCCACCTTGGAAGGTTGGACTGTCCGGATAGTCGCTTGAATTACCGGACAGGTCGCGGCTAAGTTGTGGTATAGCGCGAAAGTTCTCCTCGTTGCGTTGAATTAGGTTGGCCAAGTTCTCTATTGCTCCCAGCAGACGTGGTCCAACACCTTGACATCTGACGGAAACAATCCACACTTCATTAGTATCAGTCCGATATAACGTGTCCATCCGGTTGAACCGGCGGCCATCCCCCGCAAAGTGTATGTGACCCGAACCCGTCGATCAGACATGGGCCTCGAGACTTCAAGTCCGTATAAAGTAAAGTAAACTTACAGTGACGTTGCCGGAGCCGAGTCCTCGATATATGTGCAAGTTGCCCCGACCCTCCTACAATAGCCGCATATCGGCCTCTCGTTATCGCATTTCGTCTTGCGGCCACGGCAGGTCTGGCAGGCGGATGAGGCGCGCGACCAAGTTCTCTGCTTCGGCATCCTAGGATCAGCATGCTCGACATGCGCGTGATCGACGCCGGAGACGGAGCGGCCAGGAGGCGATCCGCCAGTAATGGCCGCCATGCCCATGTCGGGGAAGCCCCGGCCGATGTCCATCCTCATCCTCTTCGACGGTGGGTCCATTGCGACGATAGATGACTCCTGTAAACCTCGTTGTTCGGGATCATTTCTCGTGTCGGGGAGACGAGCGACGCGAGATGTGAGGGGGGAGGCAGGATGGTCGGCCCTGTCTGGGGATCGCGAGTTTAATTATCGTGCAGCATTGATCACCGACCCCCGCAGAATTGTTTCAGAACGCGACGCCATGGCCTCGGGGAGCGTGGAAGCTCACTTATGACTCGCCTTATCTGCATGTCATAGAGTCTGCTTAGTCCTGAGACTTTTGCGCTCGGGGACTCTTCCCGGTGAGTCTGCTCGGTGAGTTTCAAGGTGAACCATTTCACCGACTAAGGCAGCTCGCTTCGGGGGGCTTGCCGTCGGTGTACGAAGTAGGCCAGGTGAACTCTTTGTCAGCTTGACAGTTCTCCAGCTCTCCGACGCTTCTGCTACTAGCGGCGTTAGTCCATCTTCACTCTAAGCCAGGTCTATCCATAGTCATCTAGCGTTCGTCTAGTCTGGTCAACGTGACCTGCCATCCGACTCCCGAGTTCCGTGATGGAATCCCTCACCCGACACGACGGGTCAACCATCCAAGCTAACGATGAACTTGGGGAAGAATCCACCGCCCGTGGGGAAACCGCAGACATTTTACGGGGTCGACTGGGGTACACAGGGGGGCTGGCCGCGTGGGAAGTTGAGAACTCCTCCATTCCGGCTCCTGACAGTGTCTCTTTTGACTTTTGCATATATCTCCAAGGTGTCCTTCGACTCAACTCTAATGGCATCGAGTTGATCCCGGCTCGGCGACTTCACTGCTTTCAAAGTCGATTGCAACTGTGGTCATTGAAGAAACCAACAGCCTCCCAGTACAATCTCAGTGCAGCCCGACCATAACAAAATCAAGATGGGCTTCCTCAAGTCAAAGCCAGCCAAGAAGACGGCCGCACAGGCCGTCGGGTCTGACTTGCTCGCAGTGAGTCTCCTCTTCAAATTGCCGGCATCAACAACAGACAACGCAAGTCATAAGCTATATGATCATCAACTCTAACATCAGCTCAAGGTCCTGCCCGAAAACCCTGCACCATGGTATCGCACCAAGCACTTGCTTCTGCTGAATCTAACTCTATTGGTTCCCATGTTGTCGTCGGCCTCGGTCGGCTTCGACGGTATGTCACTGCTTCCTGTGAGACTTGTGAATTGCCATCCTAACATCTGGAACCAGGTGCCATGATGAACGGTCTGCAGACCATCAAGCAATGGCGCGGTTACTTTGGTAGCCCTAGTCCATCCGTGCTCGGAACGATGAACGCTGTGTATCCCATCGGCAAGATCATGGGCCTTATTCCAACTACATACCTGGCGGATAAGTACGGCAGAAAAGTGCCCATGTGGATTGGGTTCTTCCTTCTCCTCGTCGGAGCTGCCCTCCAGGGCGCAAGTACTAGTCTGCCCATGTTCATCGTCTCACGATGGCTCCTCGGTGCTGCTACTGCCTTCATTGCGCAGCCGGCACCTATTCTCGTGACCGAGCTTGCCTACCCGACCCAGCGAGGCAAGATTTCGAGTCTCTATAATACCTTCTTTGTAAGTTTTCCTAGCTACCTAGGTCTATATCAAACCTCTTGCAAGAGACTTGAGCTGACAGCTGCTATAGTTCTTCGGAGCAATCTTAGCGGCTTGGTCAACCTACGGCACATTCCGACTGACCTCAACTTGGAGTTGGAGAATTCCTTCTATTTTGCAGGGAGCTCTTCCTGCGATCCAGTTCGCCCTCTTCTACTTCGTGCCTGAGTCCCCCAGATGGCTCATTGCCCATGGTAAAACCGAACAAGCCCGGAAGATTCTCACCCGCTACCACGCCGGCGGCGATGCGTCTTCGCCTCTCGTTGACTACGAGGTCAAGGAAATCGAGGAAAACGTCCGTCTCGAGACCGAGGCGCTGCGCGAGTCTTCGTACCTCGACCTCGTCAAGACGGCACCCAACCGTCGCCGTACTCTCATTGCCGTCATCACCGGTCTCGGAGCCCAGTGGTCTGGTTCTGGAGTTATCTCTTACTACCTCACGCTGGTTCTCAACACCGTCGGAATCACCGAGACCAAGGATCAGGCCCTCATCAACGGCTTGCTCCAGGTTTTCAACTGGTTCGCGGCCGTGTTTGCCGGCGCCATGATGGTTGACCGGATTGGTCGCCGCAAGCTCTTCCTCATTTCGACTGCTGGTATGCTCGGATGCTACATCATCTGGACCATCCTCACGAGCGTCTTCACCAACACCAAGGACGAGCGAGCTGGCTACGCCGTGGTTGCTTTTATTTTCATCTACTACTTCTTCTACGACATCGCTTGGTCGCCCCTCTTGCTCTCGTACCCGGTCGAGATCTTCCAGTACACTCTGCGTGGAAGAGGGTTGACAATGTCCCTGGGATCGACTTTCGTAGGTCTCATTATCGGACAATTCTGTAATCCCATTGGAATGGCCAACTTGGGCTGGAAGTACTACATTGTCTTTTGCGTCATTTTGGCCCTTCTGTTGCTCTTGATTTGGCTTCTCTTCCCGGAGACCAAGGGCCGTTCCCTTGAGCAGATTGCCGAGGTGTTTGACGGCAAGAACCATGCCTTTGGCAGCAGTGGCGTTAGGGGTGACAAGGTTGATGACGAGTTTGTTGAAGTTGAGAATGTTGCGGATAGGAAGGCCTAAGACAATAGACCAAACCATAGTCGATGAAAGCCTATGTAGTTGCGAGCGTACTAGAACTGCAATCGATAGTCAAATTTCTTGTCCACATGTCGAGTTCTTTGATAACCCTCATGAGTCTCCATTTGTTTCAGTGAAGGCCAGTAGTATGATGCCGTTGACGAGGCAAGTTAACCCCTAAGCCAAGACATCTGATGGGAGTTGAGTGATACACCTGCAGAGTGGTAGACCTCGACGTCAGCCGCAACGCCAAGTTCACCTACCGCCACGTCTGCTTAGCGTCCCGTTGTCTCGGGATGCATCCCAGCTGGTCGGAGGGCTAATCGCGCGTTCCGGCCGGATTTCCATCGCACATAGAAGAGTAATTGAAGTCTTGTCAGGCCTGGCAACCGCAGTCAACCTACTTAACTTAGCAGACTACTAAGCCTTTGTGATCTTTGGCAATATTTCTCCTCGGCGCCGTCAGAAGTATGTCGTCCTCTTTTCGGGGTTCTTGCCTATGCGGCGGGGTTGAGATCCAGACTTCGTCGACACCACTCGCTGTCCTCTCCTGTTTTTGCATTCATTGTAGCAAGGGTGCCGGTGGGTCGCACCAAACAGTAAGACTCCCAAATTATTGAACACACCAGAGTGATTGCTAATCCGGTTCTTGCGGCAGATTGCAAAGTTTGAGACTCAATTCGTCCGAGTCCTCTCAGGGAGCGATCTCATCTCCAACTTCACGTTGATCGACACGTCAAGTGGTTCTCCAAAAGAAAAGTCGTTCTGCCGCACTTGTGGAACCCCGCTGTGGACAACCCCCGCATCCGCAAAGGGGCAATACATACTCATCCGGACAAGTCTGTTGGAAGGCGGGTAAGTGGTGTCTCTCCCCCGCGTGCCCGGTTGAGGCTCACGACTGACGGATGTCGGATGCAGCACCGAGCTGCGACCTGATTCGGAGATTTTTGTCAAGTTTCGGCCGCCTTGGCAGCAAGCGGTCGATGGAGCTGTGCAATGGGAGCAGATGAGAAAATAAGCAGAAACGGAGAGTTGCTTAGTTGCTGCACAAAGAAGCTGGGGTAAGATGGGGGGCTCATGACTCGGAACTTGTCCGTTTGAACAAATCATAACTCGATCCGCTTTCCGCTCATCGCTGGTGCCACTATCCGATCCATGCTTTGCTTCTCTCTGTCGTGGTCTCAGGTCTGGAGCAGTTCTTTAGGTGGCTTCGGAACTCGGTGTGATCCCCAGACTTTCAACCTTTCTCCATCCAAACATTTCATCCCGAACTCTGCTCATTCTCCGCAATCTTTGTCCATCTTACTCGACCGAAGTCAATCCGAGATCCATGATCTAAATCTAGATTTCCCAGGCCATTGCGGCTTCCGAGATAAGTCACCCGTCATTCCGAGCTTTGTCTCGTCTGGGGAGAGACTCCAGTCTCCGGCGGAAGAGCCAATTTACCCCCACGCTTTGCGCCCGGTGGGAGGATAGGGAGAAAACAATGGAGCCGAAGCCAAAGCGGATCAAGATTGATGTGGCATGTGAAGCATGTCGGAGGAGAAAAGTCAAGTGTGATGGAGCACGCCCAGGTGAGTGATCGGTGACGATTCCACGGTGAAGGACATGCAGCTTCGAGAGTCTTGGCCTACGAGGTCGGACCGGAGTCAATTGAGATCTTGCTAGGAAGTTCGCAGAACGTCTGCTTTGCCTTGGTTCATGAGCTGTCGGCGCAACGCATGCATTTCTGACCGTGCCACGGCTGACAACATCTCATAGCGTGTGGCAACTGCTGGAAGAGGACCGACCTGAGAAACGGCTGCACCTACACCTCCGAGACCGAGAAGTCGTTCTCGGGTAGTAGCAAACCTGCAGATGCAGGTCCAGGCAATCCCGAAAGGGCAATGCCCAAGATCGTCCACACGCCCGAGGCCAACTTTGCGCAGCCCCTGATGCCTCCCATTTCTCGCCCGGCTCCGAGTGCGACGCCCAAGTCGACCACTTCCTCGGGTCCAGACCTCACAAGGCGAGGTCGAGTCGAACGGCACCCCATCACTCCATCTGATGCTAGCCCTTCAGTTGTTGATTCCATGACCACGGTCCGAGAGGATGGCATGGTGACTGGCGAGTACTTTGGCAGTAGTAGCGCTGGATCTTTCACGAACCAGATCAAAGCTGCCATTGACGCGAGGCTGGGCTCTTCGACAGAGAATAGGAGTGTAAGAAGCTCACTCTTCCGTTCGACACTTCCCCTCAATGGCTCTGGTGCTGGAGGGCAAGCCGATTATGTCCTGCCAGCCCGTAAGCAAGCTGATCACTTGACCGACCTCTACTGGTACTACGTTGA